AAGAATGATGGAGGAAAATACATCTCCAATTGACATAGTACAACCGCAACCTCATTTTCCAACTCATCTAGTGATTTTTCATCGATAACCTTGGCACAAATAGAATTGAAGATAAAACATAGTCGCATAATGGCATGTCTAACATTCTTAGGCAATATGTTACGTATAGCCACGGGTAACAACTGTTGCATCAAAACGTGACAATCATGGGACTTTAATCCTATTAACTTCAGATCTTTCATGGATACAAGACTCTTAATATTTGAAGAGTATCCTTGTGGCACTTTAATACTTTGAAGACAATGACATAAACTACGTTTCTCCTTCTTTGACAAGGTGTGACATGCTGGTGGTAGATATGTTCTATTGCCTTCAGGCCTTGGATGTAATTCAGGACGTATTCCCATCTCACAAAGGTCTTGACGTGCTTTGATCCCATCCTTTGACTTTCCTTGAATGTTTAACAATGTGCCAATGAGATTATCACATACATTCTTCTCCACATGCATAACATCAATACAATGTCGTACTTCTAAATGGCTCCAATATGGAAGATCAAAGAAAATTGATCTCTTCTTCCACATGTTCTTGTCAGAAGACCTTTTTTGGGTCTTTCCAAATGTAATGCATATGTTCTTCACTCGATCGTAAACTTGTAAACCAGTCAATGGTTCTCTGGCAATTTCATCCTCCTGTATGTCATTAAAAGCTTTCTTCAGTCTACGATATGGATGGTCATGCGGGAGAAATTTTTTGTGCCTGTTATAAACTGTCTTCTTTCCATGTTTCAATTGTAGATAACTGGTCTCTTCTTGACAAATAGGACAAGCATAATGCCCCTTCACACTATACCCACTCAAGTTTCCATAGGCAGGAAAGTCATTAATGGTACAAAATAGCATTGCATGCAACTTGAACTTCTGCTGCTGATACCCATCAAATGCATCTACTCCTTCCTCCCATAATAGTGTTAAGTCTTCTATCAAAGGACTCAAATACACATCTATGTCATTTCCTGGCTGTCTTGGACCTGCAATCATCATACACAACATGACATATTTGCGCTTCATGCATAACCATGGTGGAAGATTGTAAATCATCAATAAAACGGGCCATGAACTATGGTTACTACTTAAGTTTCCAAAAGGATTCATCCCATCTGTTGCTAATCCAAGTCTAAGGTTTCTTGCATCACTACCAAAACTTGGAAATAGACAGTCAAAATTCTTCCATTGGGGAGAGTCAGATGGATGTCGCATGTGCCCATCACATGTTTTTCTCTTTGAATGCCAAATTAAATTTTCAGCATCTTCGTGAGCGTACAACTGCCTAAATCTTGGAATTATTGGAAGATACCATAAAACTTTTGCAGGAGGATGTTTTTTATCACTCTCCTGACTACAATCATCACCATCCTTCGCTTTGTAACGTGATACACCACATGTTGGACATTGGTCTAAAGATGATAAGTTAAATTGTATTATCATTGTGTAAGTGCACGAACTTATTGTGTAAGTGCACGAACTTATTTATCAACTATTTTGTTTTCACTTCTTATTTGTTGATAAGTTAAATTGTTAAATTAATTTAATAAATTTTAGAATTTAATTTGATTTAATTGTGTTCATAAATTAAATTCAAATTTCAAAACTTATTTCATTCTTTTGTTATTATTATTATTATAAATCATGTCTAATACAACATAAGAGTGATCTCATGCTAAAATCTGAGTTTGATTCAATGAATATGGACGTTTATTTGAAGTTCAGTGAACCTGGTCTCATTTAAACACACCACATTCATATGCTATAAGCAACACTCTCATTTACATGAAAAAAAAAAAAAAAAATTTCACAGAAGCGTCTGCATGCACAACAGCGCCAAGTCTCCACGTCGCAACCTAGCTAAGACCAAAGATGTATAAAACAGGAAAAAAAAAAAATTTTGGCAAAAATACATTGCTGATTGTAGATAGTGGCCCAACATTTTATATCTCAGAGGCTTAGATGGTCCGTCCATTGGAACCACCAAGGGTCAGTGTTCATATATGCGTGGTTTCCTTTTCTTTACTTATTATTTACATACTAGTGATTGACAGGGACGTCAACTTCTCAAAAATTTGTAAATTTTTTATATAATTTATGATTTTCATCTTCTTAAATGTAATTATTATTTAATATATATTTATTTATATATTTAAAATTTTTTTTTTTCAATTTTTTATTTTATAATTTTTATATAATTTTTTATTTTATCTTTCAAATTTAATTATTACTTAATATATTCTTTTATATATTTATAATTTTATCTTTTATTTTTTTATTTTTTATATTATTTATTATTTATTAATAATATATTATTTAATCTTCAAAATTAATAATCAAAGTTGATCACTAATAATTAATAATAAATTTTTTTCTTAAAAATTATATTTATATAAATATTTATTTAAATAATTTTATTTAAAATAATTTTATTTAAAAAATATTTAAATTAACAAATATTTATAAATTATTTTTTCTAAAATTTTTTAAGTTCTTATTGTTTTTAAGTCGTATTGATTTCTAACATCAATTTTTTTTGGATAATATTTTTTTTATTAATTATTATATTTGAAATATTATTTATTTTAAATTTAATTTTATTATATTTTTTTAAATTAAATCTTAATTGATTAATAAAAATAATATTTAATTTTTTTCTTTTAACTCTAGAGTTACGAGAGACTTTGGAATGTATCAGATATTATGATTTAATATAATAATATTATTTTTAAATGATTTGAAGTCAAAATATTAAAATAATTTGTGAGAAGGGACAAGTCTTCAAGTCATTTTAACAGGAGACATGTTCTTATACATCTAAAAATTTAATATTGATTTAAAATTAATAATAATTTATAAATAATGTCTTCTCTTAAACCAATTAAGCATGAAATTTTATATATATATATAACTCTTTTAAGAGAATTCAAATCATTTGCTTGTTGAAAAATCTTATGTAATTTAAATTTAAGAGTAAAGATAAAAAATCATTTATAAATACTCTTGTCTTTTAAATCTACCAATACACATTTTAAAGACATCATCCTATCATTATAGGATAGGATTTTGGGTTAAAATATTAAAGGTCTAAACCATTTTAACCCCTTATTCATAAATTAAAAGATTTATTTTACTATATTTAAAATTTTCATATTATTTATGATGTTATAAAACAAATAATATATTATTAATAAATAATAAAAAAATATATAAAAATATAAAAAATAAAAGGTCAAAACTATAAATATATAAATAAGTATATTTAATAATTATTAAATTTAGGTTTAAACATCTTTATGTTTTAATTCACCTAAACAAATTTTAAAAACTAAATTATGATAGAGTTATTGAGTTACCAAGGGAAAGACATTAGATTTTATGATTAATTTCCATGATATTATATTAAATAACTTCAAAGTCAAAATATTGCAAACAAAAAAAAAACTTATTAACTCTTAATTATGAAATTCGTTTCAACATACTTAAAAATCTCATATTTCTTAAAAGTCTAAATCAAAAAATTTAAAAGTATAATTTTATTTTAATGATAGATACATTTTAAAAATTAAATTATAATGGAGTCATTAAAATGATATTTTAGATATGGTAATTGAACATAAAAATATTATTTTTCAAAAATTGATATTTGAACACTATTTTTTATTTTTATTTTAAAAAAGAAGGATTTTTCAATCCTTAATCCTTACTTTGTATATTTCTTCTAACATACTTAAAAGTTACGATAAATAAAATATTATAACATTTTCTTCCTTTAAACCCATCAATTTGTTTTTAAATAAAATCATCAAATTTTAAAATAAATAATATCTCACATTAATATTGTAATTATATCTAATAAATAAATATGCATTCAAAATACACTATTCTGATAAGTGAAAAAATATATATATATACAACGGATATTCACATGTTCATAACTGATTTATATTTACGAATAACTTTTATCAACTAATACCCTTATAAATAATGAAATAGGCCAAGACAATTATTTTATTTAAATTTCTTTATTCTTCTCATTTAAATTTATGAAAATAGTATTATTATGAAATAGTTATAATATTTTAACGAAATTAATTTAAATCTCGATAAACGTGAGAGTTTTTGTATCATTTTTCTCAACTATGACTTATAATAGAATAGAATACAGAACTAACATGATAAATAAGAATTCATTTTAAAAATAAATATAAAAAATTAGAGTGGGTATTGAAAAAACTAATAAAAGAGTTATAACATGTAGTAAAATTAAATTGAGTATTAAAGAATGGTGTTAAATGAAAAACAATTAGAATGTTAGTTAAATGTTAGTAGCACGAATAATATTTATTAATAACGAATAATTATTCATGATTCCATATATGATATATTTAAGCCATTTTTTGGAAAATAAAATAGATAAGTTTTGTAGTACATAAAAAAATGGTTAAGTAATGACATGTGTAATAAAATCATATATAATATTATACATTTTGACAAAAAAACAAAAGGAATAAAAAATTAAAATCAAATATAAAAAAATAAAAAATCAATAAATAATAAAATGGAATAAAATATTAAGCCTACATAAAAAAAAAGCCTTTTTAAAAAAACATAACTAAAATATACCATTTGTCTCCAAAATTCAAAACATTCCTTTGTAAATAAATAATAAATTATGTCAATGGAAAAGAAATGACAATAAATATTAAATTTTAGACTGTAAACATCTTTAAATGAAGTTTTTAATAAACATTACTTAAAAGTAAAATTAAATATTTTATTAAAACGATGTTTAAAATTTAATAAAAATTACTTATTTAAATAATTTTTTTTAATTTTAAGCAATTTTTTTAATCTATAAAACCTATAATAAATATTTTTATTTATTTTTATTTTTAAACAATTTACTTAACAACTCCATCTTTTAATATTACATGGAAAGTTTCCTTTCCCGTAATGATGACAGTGAGATAAGTAAGAAATTGAAGTCGTAGATTGTTTATTTTTTTCATGAAATAAACTACATGGTTTTGACTGCGCTTAATCTTCTTTGATAAGAAGCAGTGTGCCAAACAAAATGTAGCACTGAACCCGGACACCCTTTGAGGCTAGGTTCACCAAACTAGTTCAATAATTGGTCTATATGCATCAGTTTTAATTATAGCAAAAATATTAGAAAACCCTCCAATGTTTCCGTTCAACATTTATGTTTATGTATAAATAATGTCGCCATTTCCCTCTTCTTTCATTCTTACTCCATTTTCCTCTCCTCTCATTCTCTCTCACTCGTCCTTTCATGTAGACACAATATCAACATTTCAACGTCACATGTAACAATAACACAGACCCACCCCCACCATTACTTTACTTTACCTATCTTTATATGATCCTTGTGAAAACCAGAAAAAAGGGGTGCATAATATTATTTCAGACATGGCAAGGATTCCCGTGAGGTTTCACAGAGTGGCAGCGGCCTTTGATGCTGATGTGGCACGTGTGAGGCTCTGCGAGAGCAGCGGGAGCGAGCATTCGCCGGAGAGTTTAACCGATTTGTCTGATCTCGTGAAGTCCTTCATGGAGAAGAACGAGAAAGATGAAGTTGGTGGTGCGATTCACTTCGAGGAAGAGCGCCATGAAGAAGAGCTTGAAGAAACTGAGTGGTCCGACTCGGCGAAGGTGGAAATGTTGCGGAGTTTGTTTTCCGGAAATGAAGAGGATGACGACGATGAAAGGGATGCAAAAGAAATAATTAAGAGAGAGGTTGAAGTTGCATGTGGGGTTGTTGGGAACGATTCCAAACGCCAGTTGATGTCTCAGTTGAGGGAAAAAGGTTTTGATGCTGGTTAGTATAACCGTTACCTTTTTGTTACATAGCATAGCATTCACTTAAAATTTTCTGTTTTGTATGCTAATTGCAATATTCAGCTCATCACTTTAATTTGGTACCTTTGAAAATGGTTGTCTAGGAAAATAATATTCTTAGTCCTTCAGTTTATTCCCTTGATGAATATGCTATTCTTCAAATCCATATGTCCCAATCAGGAATCGTGGTGTGTTTTTTTTTTATGTTCAATTGTTTTTAAAACATGCATATGAATCGATAAGACGCGCGCATATATACCACATATTACATGATATTATTATTGAAATGATCATGTTATGGAACTTGGATTGATGAATTATTCCCACTCTTTGCAGGGCTCTGCAAATCCAAGTGGGAGAAAAGTGGAAGATTAACAGCTGGTAATTATGAGTACATTGATGTCAATTTCAAGGGAAAACGCTATATAGTTGAACTTTCCCTTGTAGTGGAATTCGAAATAGCTCGTCCCACAAATCAATATTCTGCCTTGCTAGATGTTTTCCCATTGATATTTGTGGGGAAAGTGGATGAGCTGAAGCAGGTTGTGAGACTAATGTCCACTGCTATTAAGGGCTCCATGAAAAAAATGAACCTGCACATACCACCATGGAGGAGAAATGTGTACATGCAAGCCAAGTGGTTCAGTGCTTACAAACGAACAACTAATGCAGTTGCAACCAAAATGGCATCATCACCTTTGTCTTCTGAGTCTTGGTTTCCCAATAGGTCCATTGGGTTTGAAGTACGACCTGTGAAAGCACACAATTGCAGGGATGATGATTATGCCACTAATGCTGGTTTCAGAATCAGCCATTTGACAGCTGTGTTTAATTCCGATAACCTGGGTGTGTAATTGAAGTCACACTCATAGTAGTTGTTGTATAGAAGTGCTTTTCTTGGTGGTTGAACTTGGGGGTTGATGAATGATTGTGTGAAGTGGCTTAGCCTTGGCCAAAAAAGTGCTTGAGAACAATTTCTCTGATGCACGGCTCTGGCATATTTTTGTCTCGTAGGTAGATCATAGATGTGGCCACTAGCAAGCAAGGTTCATGGCTATTTGCTAGCATTTCTTTTATTTATTTGAGAAGATAACGTGAAAGAAAACAATTGCACAGTAATTCTTGGCAAATGGCAGATGATCTATTTTCTATACAGGCTCCGAATTGAATTTTCATTCAGCACATTATTTCGCATGCCAGAGCAACAGAAAGATACTTTAAAAGACATTTATTGGTCTGCCTCTAATTTCAATGCACAGTGGTCCACCAAAATGAATTCTAAAACTGTGGCACATAATCTGGAACAAACATTTTAGCTAATGTGCAAAAAATATTCACCCGCAAACTATATTACAATTCAAGTCATTAAGCTAGTGAGTGAACCATGTACACTGATTACGTGTACCACTTTTCAATTCCAGTCTCTACATCTCATGACACCGATTATTAATGAAATTGTTTACCACTAAAACACTGTTAGTGAATATTGTTATTATTAAAAAAAATAAAATGAAGTGATGCAATGCACGTCTTCAACCAGGAACTAGTGAGGTTATTAATATACAAAATTTAAAATTGGAATAAAAAAAACAGTTTAGAAGTAATTAATCCCGTAACAAATTAACCAAAATCGACTAAAACTTCACACGCACTAAAGCCAACAAAACTGTTTTTTTATTTATTTAAAAATAACTTTTTGTTTCTTTTCCAAAATAATAATCAATTAATTTCTAAAACCTTCTCTTAAAATGGATAAAACCATGTGTGAAATATACGTACAAATTATTATTATTAAAGATAAACTTTTTTTTCTTCCACTAACATGAAAAGTTGTTGATTTAAGTAGTATTGAATTCAATTATCTTAGGTTTTTAGATTTATGAAAAACATAGGGTTGAAAAAGTAAATTTTACTAGACAATCCATCCAATTTTTTAACTAAATTTATTCATCAATGGTTTTTATATTAAATTTATTAACCCTTTGTTACCTAAAATGTAATCTTGTTAAACAATAAAATGGTATCAGATTTTTTGTTTACATTATTATTAAAAAATTAGTTTTATAGCTTCTAACTATAATATTTTGTTTTTAGAAAAAAACAAAAAATATTTTTGTGTTATGATTATAGTATTTTACCTTAAACTTTAAAAATATTCTATATTGTATTTGAAGTATAAATATAAATATTAAAAGGGTAACAAACATCATTTCCAAAACTAACTGTATTAAAAAAAAATTGCCCAAACAAAAGAAATACCCTTATGAAAAATAAATAATAAATGGTAAATCTAATAATAAATTAGTTTACTTTTCTTTCATCTCCTTACTTCTTACATGTGTCTTTCCTTCCCTTACAGATCATAAAAGATTTGAGAAGTCCATTTTAACTTAATGTTGAAGTTAGGCAAGCCGGAATTAACAAACTAAACATAATTAAAGTTAAAAATGATTTATAAAAGAAACTAACTAAGATTTGATAAGTTTAAATTTTAAGATAAAATTAAATGTAAATGGGTTTATTTGTTTCAAACTTATAAAAATAATAATAATAATTATATATATATATATATATATATATATATATATATATATATATGATGGTAATGTTAGGTAAAAAAAGAAAATAATTCTTATTTGTTCTTAGAAATTAATTTCATTATATTCACATAGTGGGAGTTCTTGATAAGAGTTTAAATAACATGTATGAAGCCATGAGTTTAAACTTTATTGCAGTTATTATAATTGAAAATTAATATGATTCAAAGTATAATTTATTTTCCAAAAATCGTTGTTTCAAAGTAGGATTATTTGTAAATGATATTAGATCATGATTGAAGAGAGAATTAAAATGAGCTAAACATAAAGATGTATTAGCCCTTAACTTAGTATAGCTGCATTATCTTGAATTTAAGAAACAGTTTTCACAGGATCCAAATTAATTTAGTAGAAACTGTAAACAGAAAACTTAAATGATACAATAATGTTTTCATTCAATATATAATATTAAAAAGAGAAACCAAAACACTCACAGTATAAAATTTGGACAAATTTTAAGTGTCTTTTATATATTTTCATAATTACAAATTGAATATATATTTGAATACATATTATAATTCTTACCATTTTGACAAATAATAATAAACTAATTGAGTTTCTTATAAAATAATGTATTTTTTTAAAAGAAAATTATTGTGTATATATATATATATTGAATAAAAGATGAAGATCGTAGTGGGAGCAGTTTCCCCACATCTATTAAATTAAATCGGTCACTGTATTCATACCAAACAAATGTTGAGGCAAAATTTTTAGTTCACAATATTCCATTTAGTGACATCTTTTCTGGACTATTATGAAAGCTTTGTCTTCTTTATCATGATGTGATGTAGGATAAACTTTAGTTGATGATTATTACCATATAATCACCTATATTTACATTAATAATAGTACATGTAACTAAAACAAGTCAAATTTTATTTTATTTTTTTATATTTAAAATGTTTTTTTTTTCAATTAAAAATTCTGTAAATCTATAAGAAATTACAATCTAAAAAATGTAGAAATATTTTAAAATTTTGTTTATTTTAAACAAAGTATTGATATTGTTATCCTATTAAATTTAAATTTTATTTTAATATTTTACATATTATTGAATACATTATGAAAATAAAAACTCTAAATAATTGAAAGCATAATGGAAAACTCACCAAATCAATGTGCACAACTTAGAAATAAGGTGTATAAGTTTGAATGTTCAACAACAAACTTATAACATTAATTGATGTAGGTATTTAACTTAATTTTTTTTTCACCCAAATTGAGATGTCCTTTTCAATTGTTTTTTCATGAACCTATAGTATAAATTATTGAAGAAAATGAATCATTAATTACTAAAGTTGTTAGTGACATTTATTTTTAAATTTCTGGAAAGAGCTATTTATGAACTTTAATGTAAAATATTTAAAAAATTATCTCTCAAATCATATTGTTTATTATATATTTTTTAAAACAATAGAAGATATTTAATTATTTTATAAAATATTTAGTGATGAATAAAACTGAAAAATACTTATATATATATATATATATATATATATTCAAAATACATAGAAATAAAAAAAATTGTAAGTTTTTTTTATCAAAAACAACCTTATATATTTGTTGACGCATTCACTATTTAAAATAATAATAAAATTAAAATTACCGAATATATTACAATATAATTCAACGTTAGACATTCTCACTTTTGTTATTTGTGTCTATTAACGTATTTTATATTATATTTAAATAAAATATAAATTCTCACTTTTGTTATTTGTGTCTATTAACGTATTTTATATTATATTTAAATAAAATATAACTAATTATGTAGTATATATAATAATAAATACATTTTGTAAAAGAATTTCAACTTGTAAAGACAAAATAAATTAAAAAATTCACACTTAATTCATCAAAATTTACATCCAAACATGTCGTATTCTAAATAAAACTTATGGATAAATTTTAAGCCCGACCCGCTCCAGTAGCATGAATAGGCACTATGGACGGTCCTGATTGGCCAGCATAAACCAAAAGACTGGATCTCTCATCCAGAAGCTGAAGCCAAAAGACAGTGTTTGTATTTATGTAAAGAGAAAGGGAGAAAAGAAGAGGGTTTTTTCAGCGAAGAAAAAAATCAAAACATTATTGAAAGAAAAAAGAATCTGAAAAAGGGCGGGTGTTTGTTTGGACGGAGGTGGATCGGAGACAGATCTGGTATAGATGGAGGGAGTTGGGGCCCGACTAGGGCGGTCCTCGACCCGGTATGGGCCGGCTACGGTGTTCACTGGACCTGTGCGGAAGTGGAAGAAGAAATGGGTCCACGTAACACCCTCTCCTGCTTCTTCTAATTCCAACACCAATCACAATCACAACCATACTCACTCTTCCAACTCCTCTCATCTTCTTCTCTACAAGTGGACTCCTATCACCCAAAGTCACAACACCACTAACAATTCCAACGGCGCTAATGGTAACGCCAAGGATGCGCCACCCGAACAACCCGAAGAACCACCACGGAGAAAGTTCAAATATGTTCCGGTATTCAACTTACACTGTTCTTCTCACTTTTTAATTATTTTGTTTATTCTAGGGTTTATACAAACATAAGTGATGTGTCCTGCGCAAAGTGTTTTTGATCTTGTACAAAAGAATTGTTTGTTGTAGTGACTACAATACCCTGATACTTTGTGTCTTACTCAGTTTTACTCGATTTTAGATGTTTGCTTCTTGTCCCCTTTTTGTGGAGCACGATTGAAACTTGTTTCCTGATATTAGTTTTTTTTTTTAATTCTAAAATTATTTTTAACAATTAGATAGATTAAACAAAAAAAAAACATTTTTTTGTTATTTTTTTTAATGGTGGTTAAGATTTGCATGGGGTATTTTATTTAAATTGAGATTAGGCGGAATGTTACTGATCTTTGAGCATGTATGTGTATCTGTCATTATTTGAATTTTAAAGTTATAGTTTCTAAGTGAAATAGACAATCATCCGATGAAGTAAATGCACATTTATTTCAGTGTCTTCCTGTATGTCAAAAAGTATTAGATAGAAGAAATTAGTTTTCTAAATGCCAAAAAAAAAAAATCCAATAATGAGGACATTGCACACAGCCAAATTGGTTTTCGATAATTTGTTCTGTATTCTTTTTTGGGGGCAAGATAATTGAACTTCCCTTGTTGGAAGATGATGTTTAGCTGAATGTTCATGTGATTGGGAACAACATTTTTCTGAGAACTAATTTATCTTTTGAAAGTTTGCTCAGATAACTGACAAAAATAAGTGTTAATTTGTGAAAAATTAGCTGAACCAAACATGTATACATCTATATGTGGATAGCTGATCTCTCGTTTTCTGAACAACTGTAATATAATATCATTTCCAAATAAATATTTGTAGGATATTAATCTATCATATCTGTTCTAGTATTGCATTATAGTGGCAAGACAAGCAGCATAATATTATTAATTGTAAGCCCCCAATTTATTCCTCAAAGTATTATCAAAATCAATTTTGTAGTCAAATGACGTAAAGTTGTTGGTCCTGATAAACAGTCACTTCTGAAATAAATTTGATAAAATTGGTGTAATAATCTTTGAAGGGCAAACTTGGTGTTCCAAAAGTGGTTTGAGGGCTGAAATGGAGGTTAATTCTTCTTTTTATTATCTAGATGCATCTGTAGTTTGTTAAATCCAAAGTAAGTGTTTTGCAATGCCTTACTGATAAGATTTCATATTGGTGGTAGTGATGCAGTTAGCTACAGTTTGACTGAAGAGTTAGCTGTTTCTTCTCATTAATTATTGTGGGACGTAATTCCGCATTGTATTGCTGTAGACTTATAGTGTTGCATTGAGTGTTTTACGGTTTACACTATTGTTGGGAATGGTGTGTCCAACATGATTGGTGTTTACCTTGTTTCCTGTGAAAAGCATTATCTGAACAAGAACCACCAGTGTTTTTTATTGGAAATCAGTATTTTATTCACGAGTTGTCATTAAAAATTGTCACAGAACTGATCATATTCAACAGTACAAAATAACTATGCTGCTGGACCAGCCAGAGGTTTAGATCCATGTTGTACTTGAAGTCATTTAGTACACACTTGCACTATTGATGAATCATTCCAATTTTCATGCTTTTAGTGATGATAATGAATTGATACTTGTCTATTCTGTCAAATGGCAATGAAGATTGAGAAAGGGTGATAATTTGGGTTGTCTGATGCAGGTTGCTGTCCTAGAGGAGCAGAGAAATGAGGCTGCTGAAAATGAGGGTGTTGAGAAGGTTGATGATGAATCTAAACCAATTGATACTGATTCGGGTGCAGCAGGACCAACTCGCAAGAATGACACTCTGGATGAAAAACCTGACATAAATGATGTTCCAATGGAAGAAAGTCAGGTAAATCTTAGCGTGTTTCTTCAATTACATCATGTTTCTCCATATTTTCCTTCATTTTTCTAAAGTATTTTTCCTATGGAATCATTTATGCTTTTAAAATTAGACAATGATGGTTGATGGTTCTCATATGTCTTTTTAAATTTTAGACACTTAAGGATCAACCAAGCATTAGGCAATTTGAAAATTTATTGATTGGACATTTACCATAGTGTAATTCAGTGGTCTGCATCTCTCAAATATGTTGTATGTTGTCTGACCAGTGAATGACTCCATTTCATTCTAATAATTATTTGTAAATTTAGTGACTTTGGTCTTGTATATTTCAGTCTCAGTACAAAAATCAGGTGGTGCGCCAAGATCTGAATGAAAGCACGTTGGATTTAAGTTTGGGCTTGACATCACACGATGATGAACACGATTCTGATTCAAAAACTAATCATCAAACAAGAGATGGCAAGTAAAGCTAGTTAAATTGAGTGGTACTGAAACATGAACAAGGGTCGCACCGTTCTCCTGTCAGTGAGAACAAAATGATTCAGTCTATACATTTGTCTGATGGAAGGAATTTTCCCCTGGCTTTTGGTTATTGTAGGTTGGAGTATTGTAATCGGCATATGGCTTTAATGTGGATTATTTTTACTCAAGTGTCTGAGCTGATCGTAACATGTATTGGAGGAACGAATATTGTATCATTTTCTCAATCATTGGACATATTTTTGTCCAGATATTTGTTGAAATAGGATATTCTGAACTTTCAACCTAAAATTTTATGAAACTAAATTGATTTTTTTTTTCTAAACAAAGATTCTGACGAAAATGTGTTCTCTTGCTCTATTACTGAGTTGACTGGAATAATTGTCTTTTGAACAAAAAAATATACCGTTCAGGTTCCCTCGATAATATTATTTTGCTTGATAGTTTACTCTTTTGATGCGCCTACGTGAGTACATATTATCTGAGACCCACCAAACTTCAAGTCACTTTTTCATTGTTCTTTAGACATACTTTTTACTTTTAATTTTTGTAAATAAATATTTTTTAATTCCTGTAAACTATTTTCATTTTTAATTTTAATATTTAAATTTATTTAATACAAAGAAAAAAAAATGATGTAACATTTGTAGTAATGACATGAAATTTTCGAAAACAAGAGAACATTTGATAGAACGTTTAATGATATCATCGTTTGTTAATTACATCAGCACTTTCATGACTAAAAAAAAAAAAATTAGATACTGTAGGTTTAAGCCTTTAAAATCTAGGCGATAATCCAGGCATTCGCCAAACCATAGACTGTTGTGCATAAAAATGGTAGCTGGTTCAAGTGACAGATTGACTGCAAGTGTGATTGGTTTAAGAGCTATGGATTTATAAGCATAACACCAAATATCAAAGACGCCCATTAGGGGCCAGTTGTATTCAGTTGCCCGCTTATCTTGATTCCCTTATTTTACCACAATCAAATACAGTAGCACACAAGTCAGAATACCTTTCAACAGTTTGAAACTTGCAAAATACAAATGAACTACACGTCCAAAAGTAACAATACAATTATATGTCGGACAACTGAAATTATGGCCATGGCATCTGCTTTCAAGTACACAACAACTGGAAATATCTATCATCATTCTTTCGCGACTGCCGCCTCAGAGGAATAATCATGCCTGGAAAGTAGCATAAGTTAATATATGTATCATGGAGATTATCACAAAGCAGATTAATTGCTGTTCTTCCATCCCTATTGCCTTCTTTAAATTTAGTGCAAAATCTAATTTTATTTCCCACTATTTTGGGGCACAGGGCAAGGTGAGATGTTTGCAACCTTACTATCACACGAGGAAGAATGTGTGTCTAGAAACCTAACTCAAGGTCTGGGGGAGGATAAATCATCCAAAACTAAAATAAAAAATTATCCCGTACCGCAATTTTCGTGAGAGTTGGTACAAGCCTGTCCCTGCCATTGCAATGTTTACACTAAACAGGTTCCAATTTTTCTGCAACACAAAATAATTTTGATAAATTTTCTGGATTAAGCATAAACTATACTGCAAACCGCCTTCCCACCACCAAAACAAACACAATTAAGTAATTTCCATTTTCTCACTTTTCTCTTCAGGCGGTATCTAATGATCAGTAAGCAAAAGTTCATAAAGTAACTGTCGGGCAATAAAAGTAGTACCTAGAACACTGTTTGGATATCTAGGATAGGTCGAATGAGATGGAGGATGAGAGAATGAAACATAATAAAATTCTTATATCAGATATTTTATAGGGGAATGCAGCAAACTTTTTTTCGCGAAGTGAATGGAATGGTAACAAGGCTAGTGAACAATATGTTGATTCCATTTCATTAAATCCTCTAACTTAAGATTGAGGAGGAGAAAATAGATGTATCGAACAGAATAAACATATTTCACCAGGCTCCATGCCTACTCTATACTGCTTTAAACAATTCAAACAATGACAACTAATATCTTTCCATTCCGTCCATTCTCTACATTAGAATTCTTGTATGCTCCAGGGTTTACACAATGGCCTGATAAGTAAAATCTTTTTTTAAGCTATAAATGGTTGACATGCACAATTGCGCATGGGGGGGGGGGGAAGATGCCTGGTAAGTAAAATTTCAGATAAAGCAAACTATTGCAAGGAATTATGCAATCACAATCTGCAATTGTGCTCGGTTGCACTGTAATCGAGGTAATGAAGCAAAATATGAAACTTCACTTGCAGTGGAGGTCCATAAACAATCCTCAGTGTCAAAAAATACATCATTTTCTAAAGTAGTTAAAGTAATCTGTATCTAAAAGAACCAAACTTACTGGAGTTATAACAGTGCTGTATCGAGACCAGATAATTCCAGTAGCTGTGACCGCTGCATAAAAACAAAAACGCAATTAGCAATGTATGAATTTAAATGAAACCCAATGCGTGAGGTTTAAACTACTTGCTACTTGAATAAAAAGTTTTATTTGCACCTTTGGGGAACCAGACATTCATAATTGCATATGTACACAAAAATCAAATACAAGCAAAAAACAAAAGCAAGGAGTAGTGTGAGTGTGTGTGTGAGAGAGAAGGACAGTCAGAGGCGTCATATGTAAATAGTTACATATGCAGCTGTTTATGTAATGCATACCTATTTGCTGAGGATAGGAAAGCTTCTCAGGTGGTTTCGAGAAATCAGCAATATTAGCTATGCTGATGCCCCACTTAAAGGTAGGTGCCCAGAAGTGAACTGCATAAAGTAACTGGTTAATTCATGCATTTGCTAAAGTTGACAACGACAATGCTAATACTTAATAGCATGGTCACTATGAACATAAAAAGAGACAACAATTTGAACTAGGGGGAAAATAATGACGTACACTTGTATAACAGAATAAATCTATGCAAATAATTGATTGAACTGTGTTCAACGATTTATCTTTTCAACTGCAACTCCAATACTAATTACCTTCATTTATCTTTACACAGTGACAAATTCTTTCCACTGCATTCCTCAGACTCACATCATAAGGTGACAGAAACATCATACTTCCAACTAACTGAAAACAGCATTATACTTAAAATATTGTGATATTTAGAAATGATTTTATCCTTCAAAACAGCATTCTCATTTGCATTCACAAGTTTGTTTGCTGATGTCTTCTTCTTTTCACAGATGACAAAATATGAGCATTCAATTTTTGCAGTTACTTCATCTCAATTTTATCTATCCAACCTTCCCCTAGTCTTCGTAAATTGAGTTAATAGACGAATTCCAAATTCCCAACAATCCCAAATATCTAGCCAACAGTAGCGTAACCCTTCACACCCGAAAAATCCCTTATCTCAAGATGCAACCCAGAGTCAAATTAGGTTAATTCTAAAAATATATATATACAGGGTTATAAATCAAGCAATGCGAGTGACCTTTTATCAAATCACTGAATCAAAATTCGTAACATAAGTCAAAGTCCGTAGCTGATTAATAAAAATAAATAAATAAATAAATCAAACGCATACAAATGAACATCGGAACCGCCAGAAAACAACATATACAGAGCAAAAACACGAACGAATTCGACACAACGAAATGCAAAAAACAATAAAAGACTCACTGGTTTTGGGCCCAGCTGGGTGATTCCATAAAGCTTGAAGCTTTGCAGCCGCCATGAATTGAATCTCTGTTCTTCCCTTCGATTGAAAGCGAAACGGTTGAACCTCTACCACTGCGACAAAGGGAGAAACAATATATTTATATATAAAACAATATTATTATTTACAGTAATCATCTACGATGTAGGAGATCCACTCTGCACTTGCAATCAATCACAATGCGACGCGTGGCTTGAACTCGGTCAACATCTTTCCCATGTTGATTAATATTGGTTTGTAGGATGAAAACTGGTAGAAATAGAATCACGTGCTTCAATTTTTAAAACAAATAAAATATATATTTCTTAAGTATTTTTATTCTTAATGAGACTATTTTATTTTTTTATTAAATAAAAAAACTAATAATAATTCAATTAACCACTTATTTACTTAAAATAATTTACATCTCCGCGTGATTAAAAATAATCCTTTTTACGAACATAGTTTAACTGACAATTTTAAAAATAATATTATGTATATATTATTTTAAATTTATACAAAATTAAAATTAATATAAATATATAATTTTAACTCATTAAAATAAGATAATATAATAAAAAAATCCACAAATAAACGTATTAACACCTATTACTAATAATAATTAATACTTATGTGTGATAATTTTATAATTACTTTTTTTATACACATCTCCTTACTTAATTTACCATTAATAAGATATCTCTCCTCCTTAATTTCAAACGCAACTTCTTTTAATCTTTGTGCATAGTGACATATGAGGGATTGATTAATGGAATTGTCAATTCATAGATCTGCTTGGTGTCTTTAGCAAAAAAATAAACAAATGTTGGCGTCAAAGTGTAAAAATTTGACAATAGAGATTAAATTACATATATCAAAAGATTAAGAATTCAACCAAATTAATTTTTTTCAAAAAGTTTGTTTGAGGGGTGCTGCTAACATGGTTTTGCTCTCTCCTATATGTGAACCCGAGAACAAATTCTAATCATGTTTGGTAAGAATATTATATGAAACAAATACATAAATAATTTATTGTGTTTAATGCAATTTAAAAATCTAATGAAATATATATATATATATATATATATATATATATATATATATATGTTAAATATAGATTTGGATTTCAAAACCTTAGTTTAAAATTGGTAATTTTGCAGCCAATTTAGTGTAATTCTTTTTTTTAAATGAGTAAATTTATATATATATAAAAAGTTATGGATAAGTTTAAAATTTGACCTTGGGAGAAGATTGTGGTTTAAAATATATTTTTTTTCTTGTAATGTGATATGAGTTCGGTCTTTAGAGGAAGATTTATTGGAAAGAAATAATATTAATGAGACATGAGTTTAACTTATATAAGTGATTGATACAACTCTCAACCTAAAATTTTAAAACATTAGATCATAGGTCTTTCTTTCTTTTATGTTGTTTAACTTTCTTATTTATTCAATATAAGATTCAGAATCACATTTGGATTATTCAAAAATCTCCCCCATCAAATGTGAGTTCCTTCACATTGATACATCTTTTTAAGCTCATTAGTAGTCATTGGCAGATCTTCTTGGGAGTTGAAGGGGGTAGTGGCCCCCCAAAATTTTGTAATTCCCATGTAATTTATTATTTTGACCCTCAAACTTAATTATCATTTAATATATTTAATTGTATATTTACAATTCTATCCTCTCATCACTCTTAACTCTCATAATTTTGTCCCTTCAAACTTAAATATCATTTAGTATATTTATTTATAATTTTATCCTCTCACTCTTTCATCTTCTTTCACCCTTTTATATTTATTTATTTATTATTTATTAATAATTTATTATTTGGTCCCCCCAAAATTATGCTCAAAATCCACCTATGGTAGTAGTAGTCCTTCTATGTATCACCATTCATCATAACTGGACACCGACTCATTATCGGAAGATTTTTGATATAAAGATCACTCTTAAACTGTTGATCACCACACAAGGGTCTTTTCAAACATTGAAGAGAAATAACACCAATGAGATATGAGTTCAATCCATACAAGAGATTGACATCACTCTCTACCAAAAATCTTAAAGCATTGAGGTATGAGTTTTTCTTCTTTATATGAGCAACTAATGATATGAGCACAGTCAACATAGGATATTCACACCACTTTTAACAAAATAAACTTAAAGAGATTAGTCTATAAGGATGACAATTAAACTCGTACCCGTGAGGACCGACCCGTCCCCGCCCCGAGTTTGACGGGGAAAACCTGAGTTGACCGGGGCGGGGGTGGGGGTGGGGGGCAGGTTTGAGTTTTCTCCGCTTTAAAAAGTCGGGGTGGGTGCAGGGATGGGTAATGCAATCCCGACCCCGACTTTATATTTAAATTTATATGTTAAAATATTAATATTTTAAAAGTATTTCCTTTTCTTTTTCTATTACATATAAGGTCATTTTTTTATATTTCACCAATTTTTATTTTTCTTCTACTCACTTTTTAATTTTTTTATCTTTTTTAATCTTTTATATCAATTAATTTATTACATTATTCTCTCTTGTCTTTCAGTTTTTCATATTTCCTTAATCTCTCTCATCAATTTGTATTTTTTTTTCAATCTTTTCAACCAATTTGATGAACAAAAAGTTAATTTTTTTTATTCTTTATCTTTTTCTAAATATTTTACATAAATCTTAGTAGTAACTAATATTATTTTATTTATATTTATTAGGTTTTGTTATGTCATATTTTTTTATTTTTTTATTCTTATTTATCATATATCAAATTTTATCTTAATAAAATAATTGTATTTTAAAGGATTAAAGGAATTGATAATTTAAACTTTTATTACTTTTAACTAATTGAATAAGAATTAACTTATTAAATATTTCCTTATAAACTATATATTTCTTATTTTTAAATGACAACTTAAAAATGAATTAATTTATATATATAATCAAATGTTTGAATACAGTATTATAATAATAATAATGTTATAAGTATCCAAATATTTCAATACAATGTTATAATAATAATAATAATAATATTATAAAAAAAATTATTAAATATTTCTTTTATATATATATATATATTTTAATATAAATATAATAAATTAAAATGTATATTTAATTAATAATAATTATAAATTATAAATATTTAGTTATATATAAAAAGTAGATAGTAAAATTAATTTATTATAAATATATTTATCTTTTCAAAAATAATATAAATCGGGGATGGGGCGGGCGGAAACCCGAAACCCAGCGGGGACAGGGATGAGGACTTAATTTCTAATTCCGCGGAGATCGGGGACGGGGATGGTTAAAAAAGTCGGGGCGGGGATCGGGAGGCAAAACCCGTCCCCGCCCCGCCCGTCCGTCCCGTTGTTATGCCTATTAGTCTATGAGTCTTTCTTCCTTGTATGTTTTTCAACTTTCTCACTCTTATTTAATGTGAAACTTATACCCACTTTGATTTATCAACGATTTTACCCTAAAGTTAGTCTCTTCATATGGGTACATTATGTAAAACTCACTAGTGAAAATTTTATATATCATGATTCATCACAATGGGACACATTTTCTTGACCAATTATAAAATATATTTACAATAGAAGGACCATGAATAAATCATCCGCTTCTAATATTAATGATGAATTTTGTAAGGAAAATTTACCGAAGAAAAACAATATCAATTATATGAGTTCAACCCACATAAAAAAAATTAATATCACTTTCATTAAAAAAACTTTAAAACATTAAATAATAAGTTTTTTTCCTTATTATTACTCAATTTCTTTATTTTTACTTAATATGTGACTTATCCTCAAACTTAATTTGTACATGCTTTTTGGTCAACTTAGTGTTAAGATTATTTCATTCAAATTTTCTTTATTTTAATTATTTAAATAATTATAAATCTAATAAGAATTAAATTTGTTTGTTCGACAACAATAAATAAGTCAACTATCAATTATTTTACTATTGAGTTAGCGGCGACCCGTAAAAAAAATCATTTTCTTTTGTACTTATTACAAGCTATTTGAAAAAAAAATCATCAACATTTATTTTATATATATTTGATTTGTTTCATGTTGTATTTTTCATTTCACCTTTTTATTTTATCTCTAAATTAAATTATAACACTTTTTAGGTTCACTGTAGTTAAAAATAACTTAGATCACAATTATTTGTGTTGTTATAAATCTAAAATAAAACTTAAGCATTCAAAAGTTCTAATTATAACATGAAAATATGGTTTTTAATTATATAAAAAAATATTATCTATGCTATTATATAACAAGATTTTTTAACCGTACACATGTATACCACATCACATCTATTTTCGTTAGTAATATATAATGATAGTTGAATATAAAAAAAAGTAAGGCCTCTTTGCATCTTGGTGCAATTTTGAAAAATAAAATAAAGTTATAATTTATTATTATTAATATAAATACATTGAATAAGATTTTAAAAAGGAACTAAATGTCTTAAATCTTTTAAAATTGGTGCAGAGTATTTTTATTGTAATATTTTTAAATACTGTCTTGCATTAAATACAATCTTGTGCTGTCAAAAGTTTATTTAATATGTTTGGGTGTTAAGATTTCTTAGTTAGTAAGTGTTTGACTATAAGTAAGAATATTTATTTCACTTATTTTGTATGACACCCTCATTTTTTTTTTCTTCGTTGTGGACAATTTTTTTCAGAACAATATATGGCTATATAGTTTGTGAAATTATAATTATTTAGGGAAAATGTTGTGTATTACTTTTTCTTGATCTGTAATAAGTTTTTTCTTGTGTATTACTTTTTGGTAGGGCAAATTAGTTTCAAACTGTTTGCTTCCAAGCGAAGATACTAAAGTAAATTTTGTTCATTTCAATAAAATTTTATTATATACTCGACACAGGTACAATACATTAAGAAAATTATATATATATATATATATATATATATTGAAAATTTTAATTTATTTTATTTTATAATTTAATTTATTTTATTTAGTATTTTGATTTTATTGTAAATTTAAATAATATTTAAAATATTATTCACTTTATAATTATTTTGTCACAATTTTATTTTTAAAAAGTATTTTAGTGGATTAAAATATGAGATAATATAAAATATTATTGATTTTAATTTGTAAATTATATAAGACTTATAAATATAACATAATCCTTAATTAATTGAAGTGAATCAAATTTCTATTTTTAATTTTAAGATCGATGTTAATGTTTTGTTTAAAAATTAAATGATTATGTAAGTATTCGTGGTAAAACTGAAAACAAAATCTTAATTCATACCTACTATTATTTAGTCTTCAATTGAAGATTATATTTTAACATATGCTTACAAATTTAATATCACTTAATAATGAAAACTAAGATAATCTACTAACATTATCCCATAAAAATATTTTTAAAAATAAAATTGTGCAGTACTAGAATTTAAAAGTAAATAATAACTCAAAATAATGGAATTAATGATATTATCATCTGTATTGATATCGAAAACCTTTCATAAATAATTTTATATTATTTTTTTAAATACTTCACAAACATTTAAAAATAAGAAAACCAAACCAGCAGTGAATAAGTTAGACAATATGTTAAAAAAATCACAAAATTGTGTGGAGAAGAACTAGTCAGAAGAAGAAAAAACTGCTCCAACAGTTTAATTAAGAAAATATTTAATAATATATGATTTTAATATTTATATTCAAAACTAACTTAAAATACTTGTCATTTTATTTTTATTGCATGATGTATGTAAATTTATGATTGAATGTTATTCAAATTTTAATTTAAATATTAATATACTATTAAAAAGTAACAAAAAATATTTAAATATAAACTATATATTTTTCAAAATTTAAATTATGTTAATAATTTTTTTATTATTTTAGATATAAAATTTTAACATATAAATTATAATATACACGTATATTTTAATATAATAATATTTTTTTATTTTTAAAATGTAATTATTATATTATAAAAACACTCATAAATTTATTATTCAATTCGTTCTAACTTTATCTGAATTACAAATTAAATAAATATAATTAAAAAACTAATTTTATTAAAATTATAATTTTTATTATTAGTGTACTGTATTTTTATAAACTTTTGGAATTAACAGGTCATATTTATAGAAAGTTTGATCTGACACACGGTACAGCAAGAGAAGGTGAATTCTGATTGACTTTCTACTATCATCATCTTTCAGAGTCCAAATTTTACACAGAATACCCATCACAGACCAAACACAACATACAAGTAAAGTAACTCACCATTTACTCCAAGTTAACACAAACAATCACTAATATCAATATTTATTTAATTATTAATATGAAACAATAGAATATAGTAGGTAACTGAAACAAGATTACCTTATACTAAATAAAAGTTCACAATCTTAAGTTACCTGCTACTAGCTGAAATAAAATAAATATAAACTGTGGTTTTTTAAAAGCAAAATATGGAGAAGATAAATAAACTCAGCTCACAATAAAGCATTCTGTGGATAACTATGTAGAATCCATTCAATAATAATGGAGGTGACAAATTCATGTGAGGGAGTAAAAAGGGAGTCATAGATTTTATGTAGAGGCCAAACCAATCCCACCAAACAAACCCTAATTCATCATATCATGTACTTTCGGCCATTGTCTATCATTCCATAACTTAGAAAGGGAGATTACCACAAAAACTGAGTTCATCTACTATTTTTTTATTATTATATTAAGTATTATAATTTTTGTAAATAAATAAAATATTTCATTTATAAATCATTGAATAATTAATACAGTATAAGTTTCAACCATATATCATTCAAAATAAATTTAAACAGATTTAGAATCATAAAGTGTGTGATTTCATGGTTAATTTTGTTTCCCTAGGAAGGGTGTAATGATAACAATCAGAACCCTAGAATCAAACAATTTGAAAAGGCAGAGAGGGGTGAGAAGACAAAGACAAAAAGGGACATGGCTGGTCCCAGGGCAAGAGTGCCCTAATACTAACTCTACACAATGTCCCGCGTCGCAGGGGAACATTTCCCTAACCCAAAATCTACGTCGCGTAATTCATTCATTTATTTTAAAAAAGGGAAAAGGAAAACCCTGATTATGAACCGTCCCAACCTTTCAAAGTCCAAAGCCCTCTCCCATTTTCTCTCTCTTTCTGTTCAGCTTTAGATAAGAAAAAGAAGAAGAAAGAGTAACCAACGCAACACAACAACACACCACAACACTTTCTCTCTCTCTATCACCATTTTCTCTCCCTTCTCATGAAGAAGCTCTACCATAAAGGGACGGTTCACCCGTCTCCACCTCTCATCTCCGACCACCTCGCTTTCCTCCCAGCTGCCATCCTCACCCTCGCTGCCGCCCTCTCACCCGATGACAGAGAGGTTCTCTCCTATCTCATCTCCTCCTCCTCCGCCTCCACTTTCTCCGCCAACCCCCGCCGGAAATCCGCCGCTGAAACCGCCCATTCCCCTGCCTTCAGCTGCAGCTGCTTCGGCTGCTACACCAGTTACTGGGTTAGATGGGACGAGTCGCCGAATCGCCAGCTCATACATGAGATCATCGACGCTTACGAGGATTCGTTGGCTCAGATTGGAAAAAAGGGTAAGAAGAACGGTAAGGGGAAGAAGGAGAAGAGGAACCACAAAAAAACGTGCAGCAGTAGTAAGCACGCGCATTCGAGCGAGTTGAAGCGGTCCGAGGTGGCGAGTTCACCGAGTCGAGACTCGTCCGAGTTGGAAGCGGTGGTGGAGGGTAACGTTATTACCGGTAGTGGCGGTGGTGAAGGTTGTGAAGGGGGTGCGGTTGAAGAGAAAGGATCAGTAAGAAGGTTTGTAAGTTTCATTGGAGAAAGGATTTGGGGCCCGTGGGGACAGTGAATGAATGTATGAATTTGGAGAGATAATAATGAAGAAGAAAATTAGATAATGAAGAAAGGGAGAGGACAGAAGAGGAAAGGTAGGTCTAGATTTTAATATTTACACCACTTCCCTCACTATCCTTTTTCCTCTTTATTTTTGCTTTTGTACATTAATCACTACTACTGTCCTGCAATGTTTAACAAGGAATGAATGTTGATGTTGCTTTGTGACTCAAGGATTAGGGTTTTGTTATGTATAATCTTTCCATCATCTATCATTAGTATCAAATTATCAATCCAGTTTTTTTTTTAATTACATTGTCTCTTATAATTTTATTTTACTACTTGAGTTTAGGTTATGAAGAGATGAATTAGGAAAATCCTGTTTCTAGTTCTAGTGTTCTCGAGGTTCAATTTGGGTGTTCCACCTCACTGATGAAACCTTGTTTGTACAGGTGCTAATTGGTACATCTGGAAGTCAAAAATGACTAATTTTTTAGAATTTTCTTTTTCTCAATTAATGTGTGGAATTTGAATTTGACCATTTCATTTCTTCCAAGAAGCTTTCTTCTTTTTTGGTGTTCTTTATCTTTATCTGTTTTCTTCATTAAACTTACAAGTGAATACCCGAGAATGTCATGGAAAATCAATCCTTTGGTCAGTGTGTAAACTTCTTATATTTTGACGGGTAATTGTTTATTAATTATTTCTAAATAATTTAATATTTAAACCTGTGACAGTTCATTGCGGCGTATTTCCAAAATATTTTTTCTAAAAATAATTAAAGTATTATATACTAAAAAGAAATCATAATTTAAAAATTTGTTTCCAAACAGGATTTTGGTGATAGATTCTGCAGTGAAAGTAAGCAATCTATTCTTGCAACTGAACTTGGAATGAGGGCAGAGTAGCAGACATGTATTAGTGTTTTGGTTGTGGGAAGAGATAAAACTTTAACAAAAATTAATTTAATATTTCACCTTTCAGTTATTAGAACTTCATTAAATAATTTTTTAATCTAATTATTGACATAATTCTAACATATGATTAGACTATTAAAAATTACACGCAAATGGGGTTCATTTATATATTTTTTGTTGAGAGTTAGTTATTTATATATATATTTTTTTTGCGTTAGTTATTTATATCTATTTCTCTTTATGTAGTCTGAATGACTTTTTAGGTGTGCCCTTTCTATAACTGAGATTGAGGGATGATGGATTAATTGAAAATTTTGATAATTTTTATATTTAATTATTTACAAAATTTTAACAGTTCTATTTTCTTCGGGATAATATATCTAAATATTTATAGACATAATAGAGAGTCAGTATGATTTTGAATATTATAAATAATATTATATACATATCTATCGTTTTCTTCCTCTGTAAAATTTAGTATAAGATGACAAAAAAAATATTTGTAAAGGTTTTGTTCTTGTATTCTAAACATATAATTCTTTAAGTAGTGATTTGGAAGAACTTAATATAACTTGTTATTGATTCATATCATTCTTTAAGTAGTGATTTGGAATAACTTATTATTATCAACCGAGTTGGACATCTTTAACAATTTCCTATATTTTCTATAATTTTGTTGTGTTTGTAAACTTAAATTTTAATTTAGATTTTACTTTAGGCATATGATTAGTATGAATATTTTTTATATTTTAATTTATATAAAGTTATTTTAAATAATTAATATAAAATAATAATATTTTAATCATATAGTAATTTATAAGTACATAAATAATATAACAACGTTTTATACCACTAGTGTTGCTTATTTAAATTTTTAAGATTTAATATTAATTTTGGTTTTTATCTTCTACAAAATCCGTAATTCTGATAATTTTTTATGCCATTTGAACTTTTCATTTTTTTTAATAAAGTTTTTTGTCATAATAAATAATTCTAAAATGAAAAAAAATATCAGTGATAATATTTTCTCACTATCAAAGGATTTGTCAATCCAAGTAATTCCTAACTCAATTTAATTATAACTATATTAAATTATTAAGTAAAAAATATATTTAACCCATAAATATTTGATACTTTTTAGTTAAATGAGTAATTATTATTATAATAAAATAAATTTAAATTATTTATTTATGTTATAATAAATAATTTTATGTATTAAAAATAAATAAAATTATTTATTGCAATCATAATTTTAAATAATTAATTAATATTTTGTAGTTTTAATGTTAATTTAAAATATTTGTTTTAATATATTTTTTATTAAATTTTAATATAATGATTAATTACAAGAATAAGTAAGAGAGGAAAAAAGAAATAAGAGACCTACACTAAAAAAAGAGAAAGATAAAAAATGAATAAAAGAAGATAAAAAAAATTACGAGGAAAGAAAATAAAATTACATATATAAATCGTAAATAATTAGATAAATAAATTAATAAATAATTTGTTTAAAATATATTATGAATAAGATTTATTTCATTTACAAACATTGTGAATCTAATTCGTGTTGAGTTATTAGTCTGTTAATAATTAATATCATTTGGATGTATTGATAAAGTTTTGTCAAATTGAATCTTTATACTAAAAATCAAAAGTTGCCAACTATAACAATTTTGGACTCTTTTTCCTATTTGGTTAATACAAAACTTAAGGTTATTAGTGATAACGATTCAACTTCTCTTTCGTATTTTGTTATTGCATATGTCTTGTATTATTATTTTTAAAATAAAGATCGTTGATAATTACTATTTTGGATTTTATTTTATTTTTATAGTTTTTAATATTTGATTGAATGAGACTAATGGTTCAAAATTTCTAATAAATTATGAGGTCATTACACCACCCCTTTAGGTTTGGAATTATACTATTCTTAAATAAAAATACAAACTAATTATTATTTTTGTTATTTTTAAAGTAAAAAAGTTGTTCCTTTAGGGCAATGTTTTTCTTTCCTATTTTTTATTTCATTTGACTTAATGATTTTTACATTCGTTATTTTTTTATTATTAGTACTCCTGTGTTTTGTAAAATAAAATAAATGCATTTTTCCATTGTGATTATTTCATTTGGAAAAAAATGTTATTTGTAAAAAATCATTAAAATATAGTACTTTTTTGCTTGCACCACATTATTTTAGATTAAACGGTTAGTTTAAATGATATTTTAATTTTTATTTATTTTCATTGAATTATTTTATTATTTTAACGTATACTTTTACAATTTTTAAAATACATTCATTAAATTATTTTACATGCCATTGTTTTTTTTTTCAAAAATGTAAAGTATACATTTTCTTCTATCCCATCAAATGACAATATATTTATAATTTAAATTATTTTACTTTTTGTTTCAAAACCTAAACAAGAGTAAATTTAAAAGATAAAACGAAAGATGGAAATGAAAAAGGTTAATATGTCTATTGATTTTGTTCATCTTTCATAAATATAAAATTAAAAAGAAGTTGAATAAAAATATATTTGAAAATAAATTATATATAATTTCTTTGTAGATAATATTGTTGGAAATAAACGATAAAATAAATTTATTCAAGAAGTAAAAGATTAGAATTTTTTATATATACAATAACTTAAAATATTATGTTTTTGTATTTTAATTTAGAAAATAAATAATTTTTATATTAAAAATGACATTTATTAGCATTATATATTTTTGTTTATTTATAATTTATAAATAAAGTGGAGGGATAGGTATGTGAGGAGGGTAGGTGACGAGACTGAGCTAAAAACGAGGTAGGCAAAAGTAGAGAGAGACACTTCGATTTATGCAAAGGAGGCAAAACAAATCACATGATGCTTCACTCCAGATATTGCCCTTTTTTATTTATTCCATGTCGCTCTTTTTTATTTTTTTTTCCAAAATTAATGCTCCACTTTTCCACACTAATATTAGTAATTCATTTTATATCTACTAAATATTAAAATTTAAAATAAAAAATATTTTATAAATTAACGTGAAAGATTAATATATTATTCTCTTATTCTAGGGTTACAGAATATTTAAATTATTGTTTTATCCACACAAAAGTAAAGATAATGTTAAAATAATCAGAAAAATATGGTATACAAAGTTAACAAAAAAAATTAAGGAAAGGGAAGATATTTTATATATTACTAATAATTTTATTTATTATTACTACTTTTAAATATTTTTATTATTATAATAAACAAATAAAAATAATAAAATTATTTATTATACATGTAGCACGATAAATTATGTTCTTCTAAAAAGTACATCTCAAATCAGTTTCATTTCTACAACATAATTGATAATGTTGTTATATAAGTTATTTCCGTGCATTTTTCATAATTTTATTTAAAATGATAATAGTAGTATTTATTTATTTTCTTCGTTTTTTTTTTTTCTCAAACCACCGCTCTTCCTTTTCATCAACACGTTTAAATTAAGACTAAAATGAATATATAAAAGTATATCTACAATAGATACATTAACTTCCATGTGAAAACTCGTAAATTTTAAAGTATACCAATTATTACAAACAATCAAAATGTTTATATCAGACAATGAATATTTATGAATTTTTCATTATATCATATGTATGTCCACAAATCAAATAACCTATCAACAGAAATGAAAGATCGATTCATGCATTGATTAGAAAGTTAAATTATGTGAAACTTAAAAATTTTATTCAATGAACTTGTTAAAGTGCAAATTTCTTTTAGTTTGTAAGTGGTACTCATTTTTCTCTCAATACTAGTTTTTGAATGATACTAGTTTTTAAAGATTTCCTTAATTCAACGCGTAAAGAAATTGAAAATAAGAAAGAATGCACAATAGAAGAAGGAAGGCATTAATTGTATTGAGAGTGTGGTGCGTATCTTTGTTGTGTTTACTTCGTTCTTAAGCTTGAATTGACTGTGTGAGAGCCAATAGAAGAAGCACACTTATGGTAGGACTTAGTCTCAAGTCAAGGTTTCGCACACCTAAGCTCTTACCAAAAGTCTCATATATATAATAACCCTAAAATCAATTATTTCTAAGTCTTGAGCATTTTATTTTCTCACAGCCTTTTACTAAGTCTTGAAAGGTCATTCGTGTCTACATTGGTCAAATTTCACTATGTTCGTTACGTACTTCACACTCCCATTAGTAGCTTTCTTATCTTAATTCTAACCCTCAACTTCATGATTCATGATATTTTAAAATATGGTGAAACCCTTTTACCGATTCAATGGAGGAATTTGTGGGCATAAATGAGCAAGTGAGAGAGATAGTGGAGTTAGGTATATGTTTTGCTCTGCGTTCATGATTGTGTGTATCGTAATTCATAAAGCCTCAAGAAGTAAAATGTGTATATCTTTGGTTATTGAGAAAAGCACATGCCTGAAAATCATATTTGATGGTACCCTTCTATAATGCAGAAAATTTCAAAAGCATTCATTAAAAGTAACCCTCACAATAATGACATTCTAACTATTTAAATTATACACATAATTGAGAGTCAAACATTTTTAACATATATGATATGAGTGTTGTTATATAATTTAACACATATGGTCTATTAATGGTTTGAATGAAAAACTAATCTAGTTTGTATTATGAATGGATTGACATCGATCACGTGACGTGATCACATAATTAAGAGCTAAACTTAATAAATGTGCGACGATGATACAAAAGATTACAGACAAAGTATGTCAGATTAAACTTAAAAAAGTATTTTCCAGAGATTATGATCGTATATACCTTAAAAATGAAATGGTCACATTTTGCTGCCACATTTATGATTAGTGAATTTGAATCCAAGGTGACGCAAACTTTCATCAAAATATGTATCTTTCTTTATGACCAGAGGTTTGAATTTTTTCAAGTAATCCCAAATATGGTTTAGTGTAGCCTGTTTAAGCATCTTTCTCAAAGAAAGAAACCTGATGCCAAAGGACTAATTTGTTTGTATTAATAAAAATTACTTATGTATAAATGTGGATTGCATCTTTGTTGGTAGCCACACGTTATTCAGACGCTGTACCAAGGATTCCAAGTGATAATATATATTCTTTGTACATTATTTATTTATTTATCAATATAAAAATAAAATTGTGTTCAAGTTTGACCACTTTCCTTTTATGTAGATATACATTTTCCGTAAGTGTTTTATTGTAGAGTTATTGTAAAAGGTCTTTCATATTAGTCCTTGACAGGTGTAACTGGTGCAGAATGTAAAGGTTGAAGGATATGAATATGATATGAGAGGGAGTAAGGTTGAAACAAAGTGTAGTTTTAAGAGTGATGTGAATGTTGGTGTTAGGTGGAATATAGCAGTAGTTGCTGATGATACTTTCTTCTCACCTTGTTTGGTGGATGGATGCTGTTGCTGTGGTTGTTGGTGGTTGCTCAGCTACTTCATACTACTGTGTCTTTTTATACATGCAAAATTATTACAAACATGATACTATGTTACCATGTAAGAAATTGTGTAAAAAAAAATTAAAGAAAAAATAAATTTAAATAGAGTAGAAATATGTGCTTTTAAAGACTAAAATAGAATTATAAAGCTACAATTAAGTTGTTATTTTCTAAATACAAATGAGGGGTGATTTAGAAAAATAACACCTTCCTCTTTTTAAAACATTTAGGATTGACTGGAAAGTGAATCATGTTTTTAAATATAATTTCTCTCTTTTTAACGTGTTTCCAAACGTGTAAAGAGAAATCCAATTTAAAACATGTTCCCATACAAATAAAATCTTTCGTTAATGTGAATAAAAGATACTTTGGAGAATGAAATTCATTTTTTAAACGAGATTGAAATATTAAACAATATTAACTAATATTTAGTATGTGATTTTTTTATGATATTTTAGTTTATTTAGAGTATGATGTGAACCTTGATCTGATTTGGGTTTGTCATACGAAATATTGGGTTGACAAAAATAATATATCTTAAAAAGTATCACATCATATTAAATAAATAATGAAATGAGTAATAATAATTATATAATGATTCAAATTTGATGATGTTTTCTTTAAAAAAAAATACTTTGAGCATGTATTTATTTTTTCTTATATTCTTATAATAAAGTGTTGTGAGGTTGAATTAAATTCTTGTTTTGGAGAGTGTGAGTGCATTTGGGGTCAAAAGACATAAAAGAGTAGTCTATGTGTTGTATAATTTTTCACATAATATTATTTTTTAGTTATCATTAGATAATTGTCATAGTTTTTTTCCGATTTTGGAATAGATAATTCTGAGGGATAAAGACAATGATATTCTTTACGACTTTTTTATTATAACTTATGATTCAATAGGATATTCTTAGTATATTCTGTGATTGCAGTTTAATCTGATCTTCCATAAAAAAAAATTAATTCCTTGTTTCTTCCCATCAGAGTTTATGATTCAGTATGATATTTTTAGTATGTTTTATGGTTGTAGTTTAATCTGATCTTCCACACCAAAAAGATTAATTCCTTGTTATTAGAGAATCATCATAGGTTTCTGAAGTTGTAATGTTATTTATAAGTGCGGTCAAATGTGACATAGAGAGATGTGCTGATACAATCTGAATTACACAAGGTATTGAAAGGAAGAACTTCTGATATAGAGTTAAGTATCTTTATGACATAACCGTGTTGTCATGGAAAAAATGATGAGTTTTTTAGTTGTAACTGTGCAAGAACATTGACTAATATTGATGCAGGGTGTGTGATGATTATACACAGACGTTAGTTAGCATTGATGTAGGTGTCCAGTGAAAGAAAATTATTGAAATAGTTTAATTTTAAGTGAGTATACTCTTCATGGTGGAGTATGAATAATTGTTGGTGTAGACAATGAAGATAAAAATGAAAATGTATTTATTTTAATCATGTGGAGGTTGTTGCATTAATTGAAAATAATACATTTTGAAAAGTCTCACATGATATTGGATAAGCAATAGAGTGGGAGGAACGATTTTAATGGAAATTCTCAATTATATGCTTACTAAGTGGATTAAAATAAAATGGGTTTTGCATAAAGAGTTGAATTAAAATTAAATGACAAATAATTATAAATTATTTAGAAAAGATCAATTAAAAACACTTAGGATTGACTTCCTTCCTTTTCCCTCTTTTGCAATGACTATGTCCAATTAAGATCATCAATTAACCTAACAATGTTGATGTCACCTACTCAAATCAGTGGCAGATCTTGACCATTGATCTTGGAGGGGCAAATTAATAAATAATAAATAAATATAAAAGGAAGAAATAAGATGAAAGGGTGAAAAGATAAAATTGTAAATATATACTTAAATATATTAAATAATCATTAAGTTTGAGGGCGACAAAATCATAAATTATATGAGAGTTACAAAATTGAGGAGGGGCTGAGAGGATAAAATTATAAATATACAAGTAAATATATTAAATATTCATTAAGTTTGGGAAAGGTCAAAATCATAAATTACATGGGAGTTACAAAACTTTGGGGGGCACGGCTCCTCGACTCTCAAGAAGATCTCATCATCGACTCAAATCATCCATGTTGATTCCTCACACGTAAAGTTCACAAGAAAACCTATTAAATGTTGATTTCGCACACAATTAAAAGATTTTTCAGCATTAGGTTTAGGGGGGTAAACAATTGATACATTCATTTCATTCCTGACAATTAATGTAACAAATATTCTTACCATGATCTAGGATTCAAGATATATTTTTCAATCATATCCCAAACATCAAGAATAAATCATTCCAAGGCACAAAAGATAAAAATAACAACATCAAAACATAGATTAATATCTTAAAATATCATCATGACACAAAAGAGTTCAAAGGAAGTGCACCCAATCCCAAGAGAATGAAGTTAGCCACTCATGGTGGCCATTACAATGCTCCAAATGAGGAAGAATTGAAGAATTGATGAAGATTTGACGAAACCCTAGCAATAGTCGTGTCTCTTCTCCCAAAACCTCCCTCCTTTCTCAAAACAAATCTTATATTTTTATAGGAGAATTTGAGTCTTGCGTCTTTCGCTCAAGCGAAAATTTTCACTCAAGCGAAAGTTCAGTATTTTCGTTCAAGCAAAAAAAAGTGCTCGCTTGAGCGAGTGAGTTCTAGAGAAGTTTAACTAATTTTTGCTCAAGCGAAAATAATGGCGCTTGAGCGAATAAATTCCAAAGAATTTTAACTAATTTTTGCTCAAGCGAGAGTCTATCTCGCTCGAGCGACTTCCATGTTGAAAATCTTCTTCCTCCTTTTAGTTTTTTCTTCAATTATGTTGACAATTATGCTATTTGCTCTTGTAACAAGGTATTCTCGAATTCATCATACATGGGGAGAAAAATAGATTAGAATTGACATAAGTTAAGTGATTTCATAACAATTAAAAACATAATTATATCAACTTTTTACCACTTAACATTCATGATGTTCTCACCCCAATAAAAAATTCTTTAAGCATATATTTGACTTTTCTTATACTCTTAGTAGAGTGTTGTGAGGTTGGTTAAATTCTTGTTTTGGAAAGTGTGAGTATATTTGGAATCAAAGGACATGAGAAAGTAGTCTATGTGTTATACAAATTCTTAATGTTATTATCTCGGTTATTATCGGACAACGATTGTGGTTTTTCTTCGAGTAAAGTAATTCTTATTTTTTTCTTATTTCTCTATTAGTAGAGTAATTCTTAGAAATAAAGATAATGATGTTTTTTCTTATAAAAAATATTTTTTTCTCTTATTTTTCTATTAGTAAGATAATTCTCAAGAATAAAAATGATGATATTTTTTCTTATAAAAAAACACAATGATTCAATTTGAGTTAATGAATTTAACAATAAAAATTATTAAAAATAATATATATATATATATATATATATATATATATGTAAACTTATGAATTGTGTTATAATAATCTTATATTAGAATAATGAATCAAATTTAATTTGATTGAAAATAAAAAAAATTAACAAATTCATATTAAAATAATTAATTAAAAATATTTAAATAAACATAAAAATTAAAAAATATATTTTTAAAATTTAAATTATATTAATAAAATTAGTTTTCATATAAAATATAATAATTTAATATATAAATTATAAAAGAAAGAATACATTTAATCTCAAAATAAGAATTAAAAATTTATTATTCGTTATTTATTTTTGAAATAATATATTCATATAAAATAATAATTAATCTAAATCATTAGAAACTTAAAAATAATGATTTTTAAAAGTTTATATTTATAATAAATATTTGAAGTTAATTTATAATATATATTTTAATAAATTAATATATATTTTTATTTAAAAAATATTTATTATTTTATAAAATATATCTATTTATAAGTTTTCCTGCTAACTAAACTTAAAACACATATTAATCATAACTCAAAAGAAACATATATATATAAATAAACTTAATTCTATTTAAATCACATTTTTTTTTAAGTTTAACCCCATTAATTTTTCATACCTTGATACTAATTACCTATTTTCATACTCCTAATTATATTTATTAATTTAGTTTCAAATATTGTTTTGAAATTTAAAGAAAATAATTACATTGTGTTGAATTTTGTTTATTATTTCACACATTAAAACTTTATTAATACCAGTATTTTAATTTTGAATTCGTCAAATCATGTTATATACGACCATTGAACCAATGACACAACGTATTGAATCGGGTTAAGAAGAGAACCCGTTTTACTTCTTTTATGCGCCTATAACTTGTTTGTAATTACTTTTTTCTATCATTCATAGGCGATAATTTAAGTTTTTTTTTTCACATTTATAAAAAGAATTAAATGTGTAACTTTTTAAGACAATTCTACTATAATGCTCCCATTTTTTAACGAATGCAGTAAATTGACAAAAACATATATAATTAATTTGAGGGTGAATTAAAAAGAATCATTGAAAGATGAAAATATCAATTAATTAATGAATTTTGTTTAGAATGTTAAAAAATCATTTGATGGAAGGAGTAATATTAGTATTAACTTCTTATTAATGTCTTTAAACTCTTTGTTTAATTTATTTTTTCTTTATTAGCAATCTTCTAAATATTGTGAACCGTTCATCTTTGATGCACAATGTGTGCTTTGTGAAAAGTAGAAGTAATTGGAACAATTAACGTTATAATAATAATTGCGAGAAGAATATAGAGACAATTAATTATGCCCTCCTATAATACTACTATTTTCGTACTAAATTTTCTACTCATTATTTGCTTTGTATCGATAAGTTTTGAAAATCTTATATTTCGAGGAGATTAAATGCATTTTTTTATTTAATAATTTTCAATAGAGAATTATAAAACTTTGTACGAAGATAAAACATTATTCTTTAATGACTTAAGACAATTATTATATCGTCTTTGCCTTTCTTTTACTCTTAATTGCTGGCTAATTACATGATCCTGGACTCAACTTTTGCATAGAACCAACAGTACATCAGGAGTATTACAATACTTTTTTTTATCATTATTGAAACACATTTTTTCTTATTAGTTAAATTGAATTTATGTCATTACAATTAGTTTGAGAATGGAATCATCACAACGAGAACTAGATTCGTGAATTTAATTAATAAGAGTTTTTCAGAGAAAAAAAAATGTTAGAAAGAGGAATAAATCCTCACATGTTATGCGTTTTTTTTTTTTCTGTTCTTTTTTCGAGTTTATCATTAACAAATTCCGCTTACACATTTTACTAAATTAAACTGAAAATCGTCGTATTATTATGCTGTATGACACCTTTATTAGTATCACAAACCATGCTTAATCGTGATTAAATTTAGTGGAAAATATTAGTCTTTTACCACGTAGTAATTAAAGTTTGAATCTTTACGTATTTATATTTACTGTTTTATTTAGGATTATCCAAACATAATTGTTTTCGATGTAACAGAGTTATAGGAAACCATATTGTAATACAAGTCTTGAAATTTCCTTTTCCAAATAACTCATCATACATATAAAATAAGGAGGAGCCATAGAAAAGAAAAAGACATGAAAATTTGCTGAAGCAGAATTACATAATAATAGATTTGAAAGAAGATGAAGGGTATGGACTGTATAAAGTGATGGAAGGGAGTAAGAGCTTAGGACAATAATATGTACTTTGTAGGGGGAATCAAGCATGTACAGGTATGGAGGAGCTCATTGAAACACAGCCTTTTAGGCGTTCAATAATTACATTTCTGCTGACTAGCCCTGAATGATGGCTCATTGGTAGGCCCTCCTTCACACACTCATCGCACTTCTCCAAAGTGGACACAATGTCACTGAAATCTGGACGTTTTGAGGGGTTTGCTGACCAACAACGCTTCATCAGATGTGCTAGTGCTGGTTGACAACTAGCTGGCAGAGGAGGCCTTTCATTCTGATCAAAACAGTTCGATCAGTTTTCAAATGAAAATTATTCACTTATGACAGGATTAACCCTTTTCATCATGCATGCTTCAGGCTTTAAAAAGTATTATTATAAAGTACACAAAGAGTTCAAGTCATAAGGGATTCAGCAAATAGAATATGCAAATCCAAAGGGCTTCTTTTGGAGTCATCTTGCTCTCTCTATCCTACAATTAGTCCTTCGATTCTGTAAATTTTTTCAAAACTGTAATTGGTAACTTTCATTAGTCCAACACACATGACTTTATGATAACGTTATTATATGTTATTGCAAACTAAAATGATAGAATTTAGATAAATGAATTGTAATTTTAAAGGTTTACATGATTTATTTTGTTTTCTAATTTTAAAGATTCTTATTTGTGTTCCACAATTTTAGAGACAGAAGACTGTTTCGTTCTCTTTTACCATGCGTATGCCTCATGGGAAAGCACTGATGGAGACAACAATACTGAGGCTAGCCTTTGATGCAAAATTCAAGGACTACTTTTGACAAATATATGCACCAAAATGTAACAACTGGTATTGTGTTAGCCTCATACATTTTTTATCAGGTTGAGCGATATCAAAGGATGCTTGTTGGGACTAGGGAGGGAACATCTCCATGGCCCATGCATCAGTGCTTCCCATTATGAGGACTAGAAGACACATGCACCGACTGTTACACACTTTTCATAAAAAAAAGTTCACTCTGTCAAAGCACTCTTGATTAAAATAATACATGATCATTGCTCTTGTTAGGTTCGGCTTCTGCACATGTAATCCAATACCTACCTCACATAGTCCAAGTAATTCAAGATTTCCATGACTGGAATTCGGGGATTGCTTCCATGCTGCCAGGTTTTAACCCCCTGAGGCCTGACTATAGAACAACCAGGTGGTGCAACATGAGCAAGCAGAGTCATTTATTAGTAGTGTAGTTTAGTTACTCTTGACTAGTGACTACTGGTAACTATCTATGTATGGAAACAAAAATCAGTCGACACGCATTTTACGATATATGTAGTCTGTGTTGTGTTGTTTGCTTTCTCTAAAGAAAGATTGTATTATATGCGAAAGGGATATTATTAAGTAAACCATGATGGTGACACCGAAATTATCTTGCAAAAAGCAATTAAAAGTTACAATATTTTTGACCTCACCTCTTAGGTTTTGAGTAACACTTAGCATCTTGTCAGACTGGCTAAGAGAAGAGAAAGAGGTGAGGATTAGAACCTCTGAAACGCAGAACTTCCTGAAACTCTGCATAAAGGTATTTGTGGCACGTAAACTAAATTGAAAAATTGAAGTATGTTGATTGATCCATCCGATTGAAGGAAAGGCAACACATTTTCACTCAGAATAGTGAATGAGAAAAATAGTAAAAAATGCTCAGAAGTCAGAAGCTACGAGAATAGTGAATGCACTTATGGGTAGAATTGGCATTACGATTCCCTCATCAAATTGGCCAAGACATCCATGAACTGAGGGATCAGAAGCTGCACGATAAGGATTGTCCAAGTAATTCTGCCTTAGGGACGATTTTCTACAAAGTAACTGCTATAGGGTTGATAAAAGTTTTGGAAATTATTGTTGTTGTTCCATGTGGTATAAGGTTTTAAAAGATTGGATATGGGAGAGATCCAAACCAAGCTTCCCATTTGGATATTTTAGTTACAGTTACAATAGTTGCAGGTGTTTTTATGCTATTATTAAAAGGGCAAAAGACCATAGCCAGTATGTTTTGAACCTTTTTGCATCTATTCACACGATGATGAATATCAAATTTAAATGTCGTAGATATCACATTTCTTCAGTCCCATTAGGGAAACAAACAGTGTGCAAAGGAAAACTTCCTTCACCCTTTTTAGCAGCCAAACTGTTTCAAGGCAGAAATTCCCATATAATTCTGATCGCAAAGAACTTGTCCAACCAATCATTGAGCTTAATTCTAACTACAAATAAACCTGTCCAATCAATTATCTTGACAATGCAACAACTGTTTTCTATTCTGAATTCCTTTTTCTATGTATATAAAATTCATTGTCAGACCAATTTTAAACCATTTCAAACTAAAAATCACTTCCGTTTAAAACTAAACTAGTGTTGAAAAAGATAAATTATTTGGTTTTAAAATCCAGCTCATATTTAGTGTTAACTGGATTTAATTTAGTTTTGTGAAACCATACCATGCAGACCCCTCAGTCTAAAGTTATGTCATACGTCAAATTAGACAAGAATTATTCTATCACCATCAGGCGCGACCAAGGCCTTAGTAAAACTGGTATAACATGATGAACTAAAGCAAAAGCAATTAACACAATAAAGAAGACATCATTTATAGTTTAGACAAATATAGACATGTTACCTTCTCAGCTACAGCAAAAGCAGCTTGCACTGGGGTCATTCCTTGAAAAGGAAGTAGAGAAGTAGTGAGCTCCCAAAGCACAATACCAAAACTGTAAACATCAACTTTTCGAGTGTAAGGTTTTTCCTTAAGCATCTCTGGTGCCATCCAACGATATGTTCCCGAGTTCCCTTTGCTTTTCCGACATCTTGTTTCAAGACAAGATGTACCAAAGTCCGCCACCTTAGCCCTCATATCATCGTTTAGAAGCAAATTACTTGACTTCAGGTCTCTGTGAATCACTCCTTGTGAATGAAGGTATTCCATGCCCTTTGATATATCTAGAGCTAACCTCAGTATTGTTTCCATTGAGAGTGAGTATGGCTCTTTCTTGTTCAGATACATCCTCAGATTCCCTTGTGACATGTATTCTGTTATGATACAGTACACAGGCGGTTTTTTACATGCTGCTATAAACTGTAAATTAAGAGTCATTTAAAGATCAGAGTTTATGCAATCATAGGTTACAGTATCAATTATCACACATGAATGAATTTTAGACTTTTTCTTATATTTAGTAGAGCAAGTAAAAAAATGTAAAACTCAAAAGTTAGGATACCTCAGGTCTTTCCAAAACCCCAAGGCCAAGAAAAAGATTAATCACTATAGTAAGCAACTAAAAATGGCAAAAAATATTAAAGTCAATAGTTGGCAGCAATAGGTGTATTGTATATGTCACCGAGTCGAGCCAATATACTTATTTAAATAGTAAAAGTCCCTCTTTGCCTCTTTTTGTTTCTGAAACTGTTTTACTTAAAAAACTAAGATTTTCACAAAACTGGCAGTGTCCCTTTATGGGAACAACCAAAACCATATACATATATAAACTAACAAACTTAGCTCTTCTCTTGCTTACCCACTCCAACTTTCAGATCAACACAGAGGAAATAATCGTATTGGATATATAAGCAAACAAATACCATGCAGACAAGAGGATTAAGTGTTATAATCATAACAAGGTTGAAGAGATATCTCTGTTTACCAAAACAGCGTACCTGCACTATGTTAAAATGAAATAGACGTGAAAGTAAAGCCACTTCAGAGTTAAATTGCTCCTCTAGTAAGGCCTTTGTCTCCTCATCCTGGGATGGAATCCTCACCATTTTCACAGCAACAGCTCTCTGCTTGTAGACTCCACGGTAAATTCGACTGTGAGCTCCAGAAGCAAACTTGTTACCAATAAAGAGCTGAGATAGGTCTGCAGTCCATTCCTCTTGCTCCCTCTCCTGGTCCTCCTTTGAAGCCTCCCATGTATCCATTGAGTCCAATATCATGGACCACGATTCCATGCTATCAAATCTCTTCCTTCCCATGTTGTCCTTGTCACACTCAAACCGTGACTTGGAGGAAGATGAAGGGTCTGGTAAAGCTTTACTCTTAGACATCCTTAGCCTAAGCCCGTAGAAACATGACCCCGCCATTGAGCCTGGAGAACAAGTGTGCTTGTGAACAACGATGTGACGCTTATCAAAGCAATCAGTCATGGCAAATCTTCCTCCCGAGCGTTGAGTTCGAAACATGAGCTCCCACTAAGGATGAAGAATAAGTTCAAGTTTTTTAAAACCATCTTGACGAGGTTGTTGTATATTCCAGCAACACCCTTTGAAAATCAATTTTACGTAACAAAAAAGCGACGGTTTATTTCACTATGAATATGAATACTTGGTGTATGAGAATTGTGATGAATGAATTATCTCACAGCATTCAAGACTCGAGTAGAAACAAAGAGGGAAGTTGGGATTTCATTGGTCGCAGCCAAATGGTAGTGAGAGGAAGGATTTTTCACGTTTTTTCCTAGTTGGATTAGGTTGTTAGCAGCATAAAGAAGAATTCGGAGGCAGAAAAGTTTCAAGGGTGTCTCGTGAGTACTTGGATAAAAAGTGAAGTAGCTAGTTATAGGGAGCGAGAGATAGAGTTATGGGGTCAATTTATAAATGAGGTTCGTTAGTGATGGCATTATCATGAATGAATGCAATGCTCAGTGGACACAATGCAAAGCGAGGTGACTTGAGCTTGGCGATTAGCACAGCCAACTATTGGTGCTTTCTTTTGCAGTCTTCTCAGACTTTGGATATATCCCCATCCCTGTTGGGCCCCGAAAAAGTCTGAGAGTACAAGTGGCATCTAACACAGCAAAAGAAAAACACAGTAGACAAGACGGACCTCTCAGTTGATACCAAACAAGTTACTGACTTCTGTGAATTACTGTCTCTCCTTCTGCTGTGAAAAACGAAACTCCTCATTGCCTCATTCCAATAAATGTATAATTCTACTCTCTAAGGGTGTAACTCCAATCCGACACTACACTTACTCCCACTTTTAGTATCGGAAAAGTTAGATTTGTTCATCGAATGGATTTTAATGGTTTTTCAGACACACCATAAAAATGGATTCTTGTTAACCAATCCTGATTTATTTATCACAGATGATTGGTATAATTCTTTCATATGCTTCGAAAATTTGTTTCAAATATTAATCACTGTAATCATTTATTGTCATTTTTTATTTGAGATATTTAGAGAATCTCCAACTTTATGAGTTCACAAAGCAAAACAAAATGTCCTAAAAGCATTTTAATTTCGGAATTCGGATTGTTGAAGGCTTGCAGATGAAGCATCGTTCAGCGATTTTGCAAAGCAGTGAATCCAAGTGCGGAATCAGATCTTTAGAAGAAAATTTAGAAAAAGGGAAGTTGCGGAATCTGATTGAACTATTCAAGGTATCGGAAGCTTTGCGAACTTTGATTGATGTTTTATAAATAATTATCAAATGATGCTTTACTATTATTGTTAGGGTTCTTAATTTTAAATATTTATAAAAAAAAGAAAACAATAATAATAATAATATTTTGAATAACCTTTTCTAAGAATTTCCAATATATATATATATATATATATATATATATATATATATATATAAACTAATAATAAAATGTTTGATCCTTTTAAAATGGACACAACCTTTTATATATAAAAATTTAAAATTATCTAATTTATGTTTTATAATTTATTACTTAATATATTATAATATATTGTCGTTACCAATTTGACCCTGATTCATACATTCCATGGCAAAAGTTGAGATGATTAATTGAAAGGCATACGAAAAAAGACATAATTGTGTTATAAACGTTTATAATAAATAGAAAATGAAATAAAAATAGTTTTTTTTTTTGTAAAGAAATAAAAGCTTTGAGGGAGAAATTAAAAATGTGGGGAAAAGAAAGTAGAGACATAAGAGTTCGTCACAATGGCATCTAAGCCATTCAATATTTGGATATGACCCGCAAAGTGTTAAGTATGCGTCATAGTTTGGGCTTATCATATGGAACATGTACGGAATCTCTCTTCAGGCCCAAAAAGGAAATTTCGACATTCCGTAGCAAGTAGTACAACCATAATTTTTCTTTTTCTTCTTGCACCCATCTTAAATTACCATTCTTTTCTTTCTCGGCAATTATTATTCATACAAAAAATTTATACTATAATAATTTTGCACTTAAGATAGAGTGAAATAAAAAATATAAAATGCGGTAAACTATGGCAGCTAGTAGAGGCATGCGTAACCACTTTTGCACTTTTGAAAACTATTTTAGATAATAAAGAAAAAACAGAGAAAAAGAAAAGAGAACATGTTAATAATTGAGGATTACGTTTAGAGGGGGAAGAAAAATCGTCCAAGAGTGTAGGGCGAAGGAAGGAAACGATTTTCTTTCTGCCATTGTCAAGTCACAACAAAGCAAACAAGTGACATAAAGTTATTGCACAAAACAAGAAAATTTACCATCTTGCTTGTCGAGAAGATAGTGATTAAAGTTACGTAGTATTATATTGAAAGGCGAAGAATAATAAAGAAAGGTGAAAACATGGATCACGAATAGTAGTTTTCAGAAGACGTCATGGTAGGTACTAGAGAGAGGTTATGACTCTGGGTGCATGGTCACGTTGGTTATAGTTTTCAGAGCTGTCCACAACAACACGTGTCTAAACATCCACGTAAATGGTGTTATTGCAGACATCCTGGCGCTAACTCGAATGCACTGTCCTCATGTTCTAAAAGAAACCACCTTTTCTTCTTCACAATGTGTGTTTCTTGGGCAAATTGTGATGAGACTTTGCATGTATGCAATGCCCCTGTTGGGTCTTCATCACCTTCTGCTCAGGTACCGTGTTCCTCCGTTAGGGGGTGTTTACCCTTTTATTTTCGTTTCTTTTCTTTTCCATGTAACCACAGAAGGAGACACCGAAGTTATTGTATTTTAAATGAATTCCCATGATATGCAAGTTAGGTGCATTGTATTGTTTAAGAGGGTTTTATACGAGGACAAAAGTCTACACAATTTTATTATTTTGTGATTAAAGTTTGAGGTGGGTCCGAGGTTGGATGGTTCATCTCCAACTGGTGTAAGGTTCTAGACGATTCATGGAGTGATTATGGAGCAGAGTGAGGGATATGATCATCATGGCTCCCAGCTGCTGATGTGGTAACAACTACATGGATTCAGATCTTTCCATTCCCTCAAAAAGATAAATCATATGAGCGAAAGCGTGAGGTGGATATCTACTTGGATTGAACAATATCTTCAATATAGATTAGGCTTTCAAAAGTAGTGGAGAAGCTTTCATTGTTCGCCACCCCTAAATAGAACCCAATTCAGGATTCTTTGATAAGCTTATTCAACTTGTGTAACCTTTTGTAATAACACTCATACAATATCTCTATCTTCTTCTTTCTCATATCTTTTCTTATGATGGAATCCACTCCAAAATTAATATCCTATATTAATGTTTAACATAACTTTTTATCACATATTATCAAAATAAAACTATTTCTAATAAAAAAATGCTTAAAACACGTAAAATAAATGTATCTTCATTAAAATAATAATTCGCTTTTGAATCTTCTTCATCTTCATCACAAACAGCTGGTTCTTCCGACAAAAGATTCAATACGCATTAATGTCTTTTTTCTTTTTTGGTTATACATACTTGTTCTTCACCAGGATTTTCGCACGTAATGAAAAGCAATAAAGTTTTCAACTTAGATGCCAATTTAATTAAATTTTAAACACCGACAAATTGTATAATGAATTCATTTTATGCAAAAGATATAAATGATAGGGTGTAACGAGTGAAATTCAAATAAATTATTTCAAAGTTGAGTATATACTTCCTATTTAAGTTAGTTTAAATTTATTAAAAAATACTAAAGCTTAAACTTAACTTGTTTATTTCATTAATAATTTAACTATCTTCGCTAATGATATGTTTGTATCGATTTATATTTAATACTAATAATCTATTAATAAAAAGTTAATTGAGGTGATTGCAATTCAAAATTTCTAGACTATATATCACATGTTTTCATAATCTAAATAAACAAAATATTAATAATTTCCTTTATACTTAAAAAAAAAACTTTAAAATTATTTTTATCCTGATGAATATATAAATAATAAAACTAGTAAAATTTTCATTATCAATTTCAACATAAATCATAGATATCAAACTTATATATATATATATATATATATATATATATATATATATAGTTAGGACTTAAAATATTTAAATAATTGAATTAAGAAGTTACGTTATCAAATTAAAATTTACATTTAGAAATAATTCGATTCACTTTTCAAATAAGTTTAAATTGATGATTAGATAAAAGGTTTAAAAAATGGGTAAAAAAATTTGTAATTTAAATTAAATTAAGTTTATAACTTGATTCATTTATATTGAAAGTGTCAAAATAAATTTAATTTTATATTAGACCAAAAGGTATAAAATCAAAAAATTTGTAATCTAAATTAAATTAAGTTTGATTCGTCCAATTTAAGTCATTAATTTAAATCAATTAGTTGTAGATTCACGAACTAATCTATTTTATAAAATAATTATTATTTTTAAAATAAATAAAAAATATTATTATTATTATTATATATATATATATATATAATAAATTAATTTGATAAGAGATTTACTTATTATAAAATTAAACATTAAAATATAGTTTTCATAAAAAATAATGAAATAATAATAACTTAAAAATAATGTATCAAAGGAAAAAAATTATTATTAAATTTCGATTTTATATGTAATGACAGATAAATAATATTTGTTACTTTCAAAATAAAAGAAAAGGGAGATCAAGTTAAAAATGAAAAATATGTAATTTAATATTAATACAGTGAAAAATATTTTAACAAAAATAATACTACATAAATAATCTTACCTCTTAATAAGAAAATACTCTGGATTACAAAAAAATGCTCTCAGTACGAATAAGTTTCATAAAACTAACTAGTATCTGAATATGACTAATTAAAAGGGTAGAAATGTATATAGGGACATACAAATAGGTTTAGATAATAAATTTAAAATTCAATCCCATTAATATTGATTAATTTTTTAGGCAATTT